TTAAATGATTCCTTACGTTAATTACATTACCGTTTAATGACATTAACAAGTCATCGTGCAGATTTTTGCGTACGAGAAAAAATTTTCTCTTCAAGAGCTCTACATTGAAAAAGGAATTTCTACGAGTTCGGCGTAGTTTGGTCATGTTATTGTTGATGCTGTTGTTGATGCGTTTGTTGATGTTGTTGTTGTTGTGTTTGTTGACGTTGTTGCTAATGTTATTTTTGATGTTGTTGATAATGGGTTTGTTGATGTTGTTGTTATTAATGTTATTATTGATGTTGTTTATGTTGTCGTTGATGCTATTATTAGTGTTAACAATGTTGTTGATGTTGTGGTTGTTAGATGCAACGTTATAGGTAACGAAAAACCTGTCAGAGACGCTATTATCATTCAAGTTGTTGATGTCATTAATGTCGTTGATCAAGTTACTATTAATGTTATTCACGTTGATGTTACGAATAATGTTTGTGTTGGTTTTTATGCTGGTTTTCTGGTTGTCAGCCAGACAGATTGAACTGAAGTTATTATTTTTAGTGTGGGTTACCGTAGTGCAAACAGTAATAAAGGAGATAGTGATGATGAGAAGGGTGATGATGGAGATGGTGATGAATAGGAGGAAGAGGAGGATGTTGATGCGTGAGATAAAAATTTCAATGTTGATACAAGTAAAACAGAGTATTTTTTGGGCTGCAAGGTTTTTTCTATACATTATGACGAATATTAAGAAGAAGAATAGAAATAATAAGATCGTAGATGGAGTCGGCTTTTGTTCGAGCGATTTAAAAATGGTTTTGTTACAGTAGAGACGCGAGTTTTGTTGTTTTGTTTGTTGATGTGGCTGTTGTAATTGTTGCTGCTGTTGTTGTTGTTGCTGCTGTTGAGGTTGTTGTTGTGAGCTAATTACAAATGACGAAGAGGACGGTGTTGGCAATGAATTCGATGTTGATGATATTGGTTTTGAGATTGATGTTCTGGAGACGGTTATTCCATTGGAGAACGGTGATGCTGATGTTCTTTGGCTTGTTGTCGTCACCGTAGTTGTCGCTGTAGATTCTGTTGCTGCAACGGTTGCTGCTTCTGCTGCTATGGCTGATGCGATAGTAATTGCTGCAGGTTTTAAATAAATTATTGTTACTGTTTCCGTTGTTGTTGCTTCGGATTTTGTGATCATACTTGCAGATGTTATTTGTAGTATTTTCGTGAAGAGTGTTGTTGCGGATGTTGTGGTACATTTTGCGACTGTTGTGGTTGTGGTGGTCGTTGAAAATGGTTTCTTCCATATCGAGTGCGCACCTAATGACGTCATTGTTGTACGAATTATCATCATCATCGTCATCGTCGTGATGTTGATAATGATCTTGCTTGTTTCTTCAACCTTGATAATAGTTGTTATGGTTTTGGTCTTTGTGGTGGTTTTTGCCATTGCAGGTGATTTCATCATTAAGCTTGAACTTTTTACCATTATCTTCAGTATCTTTATCGAGTTTATTAGCATTGTCATCATCGTTATCATCGTCAAGTTTGATGTCAATAATAAAATCTCTTTTGATGTAATTAGAATTAATAATAGTGATGATGATGAATAAGAAGATGACGGAGATGATGATGATGATGATGATGATGACGAAATCGTTGGTGATGATAGTGATGACAGCTGTACTGTCATCATGGGAGCAGTAAAATGCCAACATATACTGTCACCAAAGTTCAAACTTACGTGCCAATGTTTTGAAACTCTTAAAGTCATCGTCGTCGTCATCGTCATTATTTTAATCATTTTCATCATCTTCGTTTTCGGAACAGTCTTCATTATTTTTTTCATTTTTGATGTTTCTCTGGTTTTTGCTAATATTTGAAGTTCATAAAACAAATGTTCATAAATTTTTATAAATTCTGCTTTCGCCTCTAAATTGTTTGAACGTTTCATAATCATTTCATTTATGCTTATCATCATATTATAACGCATCATAAAATTGATAGCAAAGTTTTCAAGAAATAATGATGTCAGCGATGATGACGTCACATATGGTGACCATTGTCAATTCTTCCTGAAAAATGTTATCGTGAACCAACAGATCATGATGATGACGATAGTAAAGATGATGATAATATAGTTGTTAATGACGACGATGATGATGATGATATGGAAGATGATGATGATGATGATGATGATGATGATGATGATGATATGGTCGGTGATAATGATGATGATGATGTTAACTGGACGGTGATAATAAAGTTTCTAGACAGTTGTGGCAAGGTTTTCCATTTCGCAGGAGGCAGCATCTGTAATGATGAAGATGAGTAAAAATGTTATCACCATTTTTGGCAACATCATCATCATCGTCATTATCATCATCATCATCATAATTTTCCATCGCCATCATCGTCGTCGTCGTCTTCATCATCTTCTTCGCTGTACATTCAGGCACTTTATGTAATTAGCCGTGTTGAACTATCGAAGTATCATTTAATGACGACGACGACGATGATGATGATGATGACAAGGAAAAAAACAGTAATGATGATAACATTGATGAAGACGATGATAATGCCGATGATGATGGAGTAGTTGTTATGAAGTGATGAATTCCACAAAAAATGACTGAAAACAGTAACATACAATAAGAGGAACAAAATGGTTTTAATGGCGATAGTATTGATGATGGTGATGATGATGATGACGTCATGGATGATGATGACGTCTCTGATGGTGATGATGATGATGGCAATAATGACAGCTGCGACGACATTTTATCGGATTATAGGCAAGATTTGACTTTAAAAGGAAATAAAATTGTGATGTCGATGATGATGATGATGATGACAACGATGATGATGATAACAATGATAATAGTGACGCTGATGATGATTTTTTAATATTTATGCAGATTTAAAATCTCGACCTTTAAATTTATTGCATCGTTGACGTGTATCAGACAACAAAAAATTTTTTATGATATTAAAATTTATCTGGATACAATGATGATGACGGTAATGAAAATAATACTATTACCACCACTACTACTACTACTACTACCACCACCACTACTACCGCTACTACTACTACAACAACCACCGCTTCTACTACTACCACAACAACTACTACTACTCTACTATTACCACTACTCCAACTATCACTACTACTACTACCATCACTACTACTATTACTACTACTACTACTGCTACTACTACTACTATTACTACTACTACTTCTGCTGTTGCTACTGCTCTGCTGCTACTATTTTAATTATTATTATTAGCAGTAGTTATTATAAAATAAAAAAACATGAATAATATAACATGAATGTAATATAAATCTGTCAAAGTCGCGATACCGATACTGATATCGATAAAGATCCGATCCGATACTATTAACCGACCCGACGACAAACTCGATTTTTCATATAGAATTCCGATTCCTAGTCAATAAATAATGTAGATAAATCATAAAGAAAATGCAGCTTTGTTACTATATTTTCATTAATTCATTCATTCGTTCATTCATTCATTCATTCATTCGTTCGTTCGTTCGTTCGTTCGTTCGTTCGTTCCTTCATTCATTCATTCATTCATTTATTCATTCATTCATTAGTTCGTTTGTTCGTTTTTTCGTTCGTTTGTTCGTTCGTTCGTTTGTTCATTCATTCATACATTCATTCATTCACTTATTTATTCATTCATTCAGTTGTAAATGGGAGAATATATGTACGTTTAAATTATGAATGTATGTATATTTATGTGATTTATAGGGCATATTATTTATACGTGCAAAATGGTAGGACTGTGTGCATTTTTAAATTATGACAAAACAGGTCATAAATTATCCATGACTTCATGTATCATTTTGTTTGTCTTCGTTGTCGTCGTCACAGTCGTTTATGACGTCATCGTCCGTTTTGTTTATACGTCATAAAAAATGAAGACTATATACAACAACATTTAACGGTATTAAGAACAGCATAAACAATGGAAATGATAAATAAACAATAGAGACAACAACGTATCAATAATAATAATAATAAGAAGAAGAAAAAGATGATGATTAAAAAATATTAATGAGAATAAAGATAGATACTAACATAATCAACAACAACAACAACATCAACAACAACAACAAGAGCAACATCATCAACAACAAAACAACAACAGCAGCAACGACAAGATCAACAACAACAACCTCAACAACAGCAACCTCGACAACAACAACATCAACAACAGCAGCAACAATAACAACAACAACAATGTACATAGAGACAATACATAGTACACAATCAAGAAACCATCTTCTTAT